CTCGTCTGTTTCTAAGACGTATTAACCATACTCCTTATTGGTATAAAAGTGGAGACCTGGATATCCATAGCTCTGAAATGGAAAGGATCCTCCCCATCCCAGGAGGGATGAAGTGGGATTTTTCTTTCCTAATGTGGAAGTAATACTCAGTACGCAGCCCCCTCTTGATAACACGAATTGATGAAATTCATCCAGGGCAAAATGTTGGCACAGTGAGGAATGAATCGTGCTGGTGTGCACCTGAAGGCTCACACAGGAGTGTGTTACACGTGTTTATACACACACACACACACACACACACACACAAGCATGCATGCAAAAGTACGCCTGGTCTCCTGGACAGCCTTCATCTCCATCTCTCTAACGCTCTTATTTCTATTTCCTTTGCTGGAGTAAATTCTATTATTTGACTTTACAAATAGAGATATATTTCCACATTACTTAAGTCTGTTGTTTTAAAGGAAGGATGATGTGATTGGCTTGGAAACAGCTTCTTCCCATTTAAATCCTTTCTAGATAAATTACTTGTTTAAAAAAAAAAATTAAGAGGAGTTGGGGTGGGGAGGGGGCCCGGGGAGGGAGGGAGAGGCAGGCTGGCTGAGCTTCTGGAACATTCTAAATGGAGACTCAGCACTAAGTAATCAAAATGGCTTTGCTTGCGTGGAGGCCGCATTAAAAGCCCTGTCTGCTAATTGAGGGGAGCGGCAGGGGCCGGGGGGGCTGTGCGCCTCTCATTAGATGAACCTGAGGCTCTGCGTGTCGCCCTGGGCAGGCGACTCCACCTCCCCGGGCAGCCGGTGGAAGTGAAGGGCTCTTCATTACCTCACAGCATGCCCTCCTAGCCAGCAACAATGCACAGCCAGTGAGACACCTGTCCACCCAGCCCGGCTCTCCCATCGCCCTGGAAGGCCGTTAGGTAACGGGTGATTGCAGACACCAGAAAGGAATGCGTGGCTGGACTCCTGGTCCAGTGCTCTTCCATTAGCCACAGCCATCATCAGACAACCACCACAGGCAGGAGAGCCATTTACTAAAGGAAGCAAGGTGCGCACACACACACACACACACACACACACACACACGCGCACACACACGACTGGTCTGCTTTTGCAAAAGTATCTCCTCATCTGGGAATACTTCTTTTTTTTTTTTTTTTAATTGTGCCAGTCCTGGGCCTTGAACTCAGGGCCTGGGCGCTGTCCCTGAGCTCTTTCACTCAAGGCTGGTGCTCTACCACTTTGAACCACAGCACCACTTCTGCTTTTCTGGTGGTTCATGGGAGATCAGAGTCTCACGGACTTTCTGGTCCTGGCTGGCTTTGAACCTTAGATCTCAGCCTCCTTAGATCTCAGCCTCCTGAGTAGTTGGGATGACAGGCGTGAGCTAGTAGCACCCAGCTGGAATATTTTCTTAAGCAAGCAAAGCTCTGTTCAAGTAAGGTGTTAGTAATCAGCCCAGGTGCCCGGGATGAAACCTCAGATCACCGGTATATACCCACACGCAGTGGCCTAGTGCAACAGCACTTCTATTTTATATTAAACACACGTTTTTGTCGAACTACATTAGGTGTAAAATATAGAGATATTTATGTATTTATTTCTATTTATATATTTGTATGCTTGTATTTGTGCTTACATATTTATATATTTGTATACTATATGACCATAACCATATCAAATATTAGTTCTTGATTAGTAATATGCTCATATTAAGTATGAATTTGTAGAGATATATGCTGTGAAAATATAGAAATATTCATACTCACATAATGTAGTTTTACATGAAACAGATTAAATACAAACATTATTTTAAATATTAATAAAGTAATTACTAATATATGAAGTGTATATTTTGTAGAACTATATGTTGTAGAAGATGTAGAACTATTTGCTTACATAACATATTTATGTTATCTATTAAAATATATTTTCTTAATTATTAAAATACTGATTATGAACAGATTAAGTATATTTTTATAGAAACGTGGTGTGTAAAATATAGAGACATTTATGTGTATATAATATAGTGATGGTCATCATCGCATCAAATATTAATTAATTATTATGTTAAATAGATTGTAGAAACATGTGATGTGTAAAATATAGCACTCTTCATATTGCAAAAGGTTTACTTATGTTATATACTAAGTATAGTTATTTTATACTAACTTCAAACATTCAGACGTGATCTAAATCTATAGTTTTCTGCCTGTGTCGGGTGCCGATGGCTCATGCCTGTCATCCCAGCTACTCAGGAGGCTGAGATCTGAGGATCCCGGTTCAAAGCCAGACCAAGCAGGAAAGTCCATGAGACTCTGAGCTCCAGTGAACCTCCAGAAAACCAGAAGTGGTGCTGGAGTTCAAAGTGGTAGAGCCCCAGCTTTGAGCAAAAAGAGCTCAGGGATGGCGCCCAGGTCCTAAGGATAAGCCCTACGTGGGAAAAGAAAAGAAAATGAAAATAAAGCAACACATAGAGAAGTGTATTTCTGTCTCTATGAGTTTGTTTTGATGAGTGTGACAGGTTTTCTGGTGTGTGCACCAGGCAGAGTGTTCTCAAAGGAGAGACCGTTCTAGAAACCAAAATGCCAGGTGGGTATCCATCCATTTCCTGAGATGCGTGCGCTCATCCCTAGCATGAAGAATGCGCTCAATAATATAGACTGGACCCAAAAAAATAATAATAGCTACAGTGGTTTTCTTTGTTTTTGTTGTTGAATTGTCTCTCCACCCTTCCATTGCCCCCTGAAATGAGTGTGGCTGGGACCCCGGGGTTTGCTCCAGGCTGAGCTGGGCTTCCCGTGGGGTTCCTATGGGCAGAGACCCCAGCGCAGGGTGATTCCCACCGTGCTAACAGCCCGCCTGGCCGCACTGTTGGTGCATTCACGTCCCACAGCGTCATCCAAATGGGTTCCACTGAACAGGGGACAATAAATACCCTTTCCCTGACATTGACGTGACAGCTGGAAGCCACGGACAGAGCAAGATGAGGTATCAATAATCAGCCACTTACTGATTTTACTCACGCGGGTTTCTGTGAACCCTCTCCCTGCCCTCTGTCCAAATCAGCTCAGAGCTAACGCTTTGTCCTTCATTCTGCAAACTTCTTCAATGACATAGAAATCCGGCTGCTTTACATAGCCCTTCCCTCCCCTCCTTCCTTCCTTCCTTCCTTCCTTCCTTCCTTCCTTCCTTCCTTTTCTGTCTTTCATTTATTTATTTACTTATTTATTTATTCACTTATTTTACTTAGGCTTGAACTCCAGGCCTGGGTGCTGTCCCTGAGCTTTTGTGCTCAAGGCTGGTGCTCTACCACTGTGAGCCACAGCTCCACTTCTGGATTTTTGCTGGTTCACTGGAGAGAAGAGTCTCACAGACTTTCCTGCCCAGTCTGGGTTTGCACCATGATCCTGAGATCTCAGTTTCCTGAGTAGCTAGGATCCCAGGTGCAACTCACCAGCACAGAGCTCTTACTATTAATATTTAGCAACCCTATTACTACCAACTATCATTAATAAATGCTTTAATATCTTGAAATCATAGGATTTGCTTCCCACAAGTTTAAATACCAGAAAATAACCAATGAATGCAGTAAATACTGTACATTCATATATAAATAGTAAATATCATAACAAAAATGTCAATACATGTACTGAAAACATTTTAGAATTCTGTACTCATAATAAGCTTATAAAACTCTCACATATAGTTGAAAAAATAATGCTTCAGTAAGTTAAGTTTCCCCAAGCAGAGAGTTTTCTTCTTTCATAGATCCAGTGATTAAATTCTATCTTCATGGTGATAGAAACACCGAGTATAAATAACATGGGTCTGTTTTGATTTTGCTCTGTGTGTTACTTTTTTTTGGTCAGTTTGGGGGCTTGAACTCAGGGCCTGGGCGCTGTCTCTGAGCTGCTTTTGCTCAAGGCTAGTACTCTACCACTTGAGCCACAGCACCACTTCCGGTTTTCTGGTGGTTTATTGGAGATCAGAGTCTCATGGACTTTCCTGCCCTGGTTGGCTTTGAACCATGATCCTCAGATCTCAGCCTCTTGAGTAGCTGGGATGACAGGTGTGAGCCACTGGCACCCAGCTTCTTTGTATTATTTTTTTAACCTGAAAATTGTCTGCTACATTTGAAGTATTCATTCCTACACTTAATCGCATAAAACAACATGGCCCTGTACTTTGCGAAATGCAAGTAGATGGTATTTAATAAATTGAAGTGTCCCTTATAATATGTTCCCTGAAGTACTGTAGCAATAATAATGTTTCATTATGAGCGCATTTTAAGTTAACTACCGTGAACCATAAAAGGGCTGTGACTGTCTCTTTCAATGAAAGAAAATCCAGGATGACAATGGAGACTTGTACGAACAGGTGTGTGAGTTTGCACGCGCATGCACACACAGGCTCCCGAAACCCAATTAACAATGTAACCGTGGTTTAACTCATTTAATAGATGTTTGATTACTTCGCACTTCACTTGTCACAATATTCCAAAATGCCTCGAATAAAAGCTTCTGTTTTCATTGTTCATTGGTCATCCGTTGGACAGCAAATAGCATGATCCCCTGTGATTCTACCATTTTGTGTGCTCTAAACAAAAATGCTAGCCAGCTGCTGGTAGCTCACACCTGTAATGCTAGCTACTCAGGAGGCTGAGATGTGAACATTGCCATTCTCAAAGCCAGCCTGAGCAGGAAAATTCGCGAGGCTCTTATTTCCAACGAACCAGCAAAATGCCATAAGGAGAAGTATGGTTCAAATGGTAGAGCACTAGCCTTGAGCACAAAAGCTCAGGGACAGCCCTGACTTTAAGCCCCAGGACCCTCACACACACACACACACACACACACCTAGTAAAATTACTACTTGTTGTGGAAATCTCCTTTGACTGTCTTTATGATGCTTAACGTGTTGTGTTGGTTTGTTTTCCACCAGACGATTTAGGAATGACTTTGATCTCTCAGTTGATGATGGGTTTCTTTTCTTTTCTTTTAGCACTGCAAGAAGTATATTACCTTCCGGACACCAGAAGCGGGAGAGGTTGCCCAGGGAGGCAGAGCAGGTCAGGACATTTGAATGATTATTTGCCGGTTGTTAATCTGCCATCATTTCTAAGCTCCTCAGATCTCTCGCCGCTCACTCATTGCTTCTGTGTGTTTACTGGGTAGACGCCATTTTGCTACTCATGCCTAGCACTAGAAGCCCAGTCCTTGGGGATTCTAGGTTATTTCCAAGTTATGGAATTGGGTTTGGGGGGGAGAGGTATTGAAAAATCCCTTGTATATGCATTCATTCATTCATTCATGTGTGGTAGTGAATGCAAGCTGACACAACATTATGTCTGACTTTTCTTCTACATCGTTCTATTATTATTGTTGTTGTTGTTGTTATGATTTTCTTTCTTTTTGGTGGTACTGGGAGTTGCACTTGGGGCCTTGTTCTGGCTAGAGGAATTCTACCACTTGAGCTCTGCCTCCAGCCTTGTTCCTTGGTTGCTTCAGAGATGGAGTCCAATGCGTGTTTCTTCCCTGGGTTGGCCTCCAACGGCCATGCTCTAGAGTTTAGCCTCCTGGGTTGTTCGATGGCGGCCGGGAGCCACCAGTGCCTGGCGAGGCAAAACAGACGTGATTGGAGCTAGAGATGCCAATCTTGTCCACCTGGGGGTTGGGCCCTCACCAAAGCCCCTCTTCCTCAGCGTGGTTGATTTGCCTTTGAAGGGGGGGGGGCTTGACTCTTAAAGAAAACCCAGAAAGATCCACGATTCCTGTTTACCTTTAGCTACTTAGAGTGAAATGTTCCACTCGGGAAGGATTCGCATCCCCCTCTTGGACAAGTTAAACAGACTGACTTTCTAGAAATCGCCACCCACATAATTGCAATCAGATGACTCCTGGGAAGATTTGGAACAGAAATCCAACTTTGAAGAGCAGTGCTCTCCCTGTGTCTGGTACTACAAGAGTGCCAGGAAAGGGAGGCTCTCACACACACACACACACACACAGGTGCTTGGCACAGTTGCTTATTGCTTTTCTCTCAAGAAGGAGCAGGGAGGGATCTTAACCGCTGCTGGTTTGTGGCATCAGTCTATTTGGCAAGTGAGTCAGGTCTGGCGGTGGCTATCCCAGGGGGAAATAAAAGCCATGGGGGGGGGGGGGGGAAGACATCAGCTTGAACTTCTGCTGGGTGGTTGGCAGAAAGTCCCATCCCTCCGAGAGAAAGTTTTTCTGTTGCCCTTTGGTGAGGGGGTGTGGATGTCAGTCAGGTGATCCTGCAGGCCCAGAGAGAGAAAGAGTAGATTCTGGAGGAAGAGCTTACCCAATCATTCCAACCAATATGTGGCTAGAAGCATTTATCCTTGTTTTGGGAGGGGTTTTGGGGAGGGAGATGGACGAGGAGGAGAGAAAGGGGCATCTTTGGTTTTGTAAGCACCGTGATTAGTTTTCCTGTGTAAGCCTGACCCATCATATTTGAAATGCTGTCACTAGGAATCATTAGGAAGCAAAGTGTTGATAACATAGTTGAATACACAGTGTAATTCTGGCTCTTTTGCTGTCTGGATGAACTCCCAACATTAGAAATCAGAGTCAAACTGCCATCGCTTTGCTGTGCTAATAGACGCCCTGACATTAATAGTCAGAAGACAATTTTAATAATAAAAAAAAAAATATCCGTAGTCCTGCTGAGTCGGGACTCCGAAGTGAAATAAGCAAGAAAAAAAAAATAAAGAAGCTTTTGTTTTAAAAGTAATTATTTAGACTGTTCATCACAGGTAATTTGCTTTCTCCAAGAAGGCAAGTGCTATCAGAATTTCAATAACGATTCAGCGGCACTTATCTAAAGAACGCGATATTATCATTTTTTTTTGAAGAGTTAAAGTAATGCTTTTTTTTTTTTCTCCCTGACATACAACAATAAAGGCCAAATTGGATGGAGGTATCATGTGAATGCATTTTACAGTTAATATGAACATTTCTTAGGGGCTGCGTGTGAACAGGGTTATATTGGACAGATTGGTGGGTATTTAACAGGATGTTGATAGAGTTTTGTGAGCAACAGGCTTGCATTCTAAGGACAGATCAAAACAGGAGGGGAAAAGAACAGCTTTTGATTTTCCCTCTTAGATCAGAAAGGAAATCACATTCCATTCTCTTTCCAAATCTTGTAATACAACCCTTGTACATAAACTACACTCATAGGATATAATGTTGGCCGGAAACCAAGTGCTGGTCTGTAGCTCCCACCTGTCATCCTAGCTACTCAGGAGACTGAGATTTGAGGACCACAGTTCAAAGCCAGGCAAGTCTGTGAGACTCTTATCTCCAATGAAAGTGGAAATGGCTCTGTGGCTCAACATGGTAGAGCACTATCCTTGAGCAAAAGAGCTCGGGACAGTGCCTAGGCCCAGAGTTCAAGCCCCACGACCACCACCACCACCAACAAGAAGAAATAAAAGCAGAACCACAACCAGGCCAATGCCTTATGGTTCAAACTCTCATGCAGATAATTCTCTGCTAGAGGCCCACATCGCGAGTCAACCACCAATAAAGGAAATGAATGCCAACGCAATTTGAGCAGCAACTCATCCCCCTGACCTAGGAGACACTGCCTAGCTTTCCGTGCAGATGGATGATAGGCATAAAAGGCAGTGAACTGTGGAGGACCCTAGAGCTTAAAGTAGGAGCGACTGTAGAATTATCTATGTGAAATGAAGTATTTAAAAAAAAAAAAAACATGGTGGAGGCCTTGGTTGTATCTTCTGGCTGCTGCTGCAGGCCTCTCCTGATATAGCTCACAGTTCTTTGCTTCTCTGTGATATCCTGTGGTTTCTGAGAAATATCTGTGCTGAAGTCCAGTGGTCTTTCTTCGAAGAAGTACAATTAGTGAAAGCCATCTATATAGCATGGTCTGGAAGGTTACCGCATCCGCAAACACGGCTGACTTTCTCTCATTGCGTCTGGGAATATATCTAGTACCATGGCAGAGTAGATCAGTGTGTGTGTGTGTGTGTATTTGACTTCCAAATTCAGGATTTATGAAAGATCTCCTCTCAGTATGTCTTAGAGAGAGAGAGAAAAAGAATTTTTCCCTACACAATTTCGCATGTCTCCTAATCCCTAGCGATAGAAGTCGCCGTCCATCAGCAGAGAACCGGAGAGCCCTTCCCTCCCTAGTCAGAGTTTGTAGACAGAGCACAGAGAGGTTAAATTCCGCATCCTCTTCCAGATTTTAATAAGTGACAGAGCCAGGAAAACCATCCCCAGATTCCCTGATTCCCAGCCCAGATTCCTTCCCCCGATGGCAGGGTGCCCCGTGACACAAGAGCAGATTAGAACAAAATTAGAGATTTGTTGAAATGCACGCGCCTGCGGTGTCACACGCTCCGTTTGGTGGCGTTGGGTGGCTTCGGTGAAGCTGGTCTGTCTTCCTGTTTGAGGTCGGTGTTTTTTTATTAGGGTGGGGGGGAGAGCATCCTAAATATAATACTCTAGTTCATAAGAAATAGGATACACTAGGAAAGTTCTCCTGCTCCTCCTTTGTCTCCGACAATCTGCCTGCGTTTTGTTTTCGAAGCCACCTTCTTTGGGATCAATGCATGCACACATTTCAGCTATGACTACCGCCCCCCCTCCCAGCCCCCTGCCCTCCCCCTACCCCCCCCTCCACATCTACCCCCACCAAGTGAGTAAGCTCTTCTGGCTAACAAAACCACGTTGGTTTTGCCAGTGCCCTCTTGACAGCAGGAATTCAATTGCCATCATTTGGCTTTAGCGGGAGTTAGAGTTTTGTCTCCAACAGAAACAGGAGCCAAGGTACTGTCTCCCTGCTTCTTCTGTGTGTGTGTGTTTTTTTTTTTTTCTTCTAATTTTAGTTGGAACCCATTGGCATTGATCTTACCTAGACAGTCTAGTGTTATTTCTACCCAGCGCAATCTGCTGGCTTGGGGCTGCATTCCAAGACACTCCTTTGAACTTCTTCCCTCCCTGACACATTGGGAAGGGTGAAAGTTGTCATCCTTTTCCTGATGAGCTGTCTCTCCTCGAGGACCCCCCCCCCCCCAGCAAGACAGGGAAATTCTGACAGTCACTGGTTCCATCGATGGTTCCAAGATCATTGGCCCGTCGTGGTGTTGATACACAGTGGCATCGTTTCATTGTGGAATCTGAAGGGACAGCTCCAACTTGTGGGGATGCTAGGATCTAGATCTTGAGGTGTGAAAGCCTTTCCAGGAGGGGAGGGCAGTGTGGGTCAGTGTTGTCTACTTTTCTGGCCCTCAACTCTTGTATGTGCATGCACGGCTGGGGGAGGCTGGGCTTGAACTCACGTCTTTGAACCGTGAACCTTGGATCTCAGCCTCCTGAGTAGCTAGGATTGTAGGAGTGAGCTACTGGGGGGGGGGGGTCAGGAAGCCCTCAACTGTGTTGTTCTGGGGCATTGTAGCCTAGTCCTGGTGTGGTCTCTAGTCTCTAGAGACTGGGCTGGAAACTCTCCTAACCTTAGACGGGGCGACCAGGCTTGGGCTATGGCTACGTTCCCCTAACAGGAAGAACTGTTGGGATTCTTAGCATTCTGTCTGATAAAACAAGGTCAACTCGGCCTCTCTTAGCAGCTCTCTCTGTAATCTCCGTCCACACTCCATGTATCACAGGATTGTCTACAAGGCTGTCATTCCCAACTTGAGCAACCTAGGAGTGACGGGCAAGAAAAGACCAAGCCAAAGAACAGAACACTTGTGTTTACTTGTGTTTCGGATCCTATCCCTCCTTCTCTCCTGTGGATTGTCTCCCTCCCCCCCCCCCCCCCTCCACCCAGTTAAAGGATAAAGCCCTCCTCCCAGCATGGAACAGTTCTATTTCCTGGGATTCTACTTCCCTCCATCAAAAGTACCCCCACCCCCACCCCCCAAAATGCAACGTTTTCCATGATTATTTATAAACAGTGTTTGGGGTGTTTTTTTTTTCCCCCTACGGCAACCACAGTTTCTGATTACTTCAGTGAGAAGGACTATAGAGAGATGAATACTTTCATGAATCAGACGAGGAGATGAGATCAGATGTCACCGTACTGGATCTCAA